GGGGGGGGGGGGGGGGGGGGGGGGCGGGGGGGGGGGGGGGGAGAGGAGGGGGGGGGGGGGGGGGGGGGGGGGGGTGTGTGGTTTGGGGGGGGGGGGGGGGGGGGGGGGGGCGGGGGGGGGGGGGGGGGGGGGGGGGGGGGTGGTCTGGGGTGGAACCCAATGGAAGTACCCAACCAAAGATACCTACCTTTTCTTGGGGCGTGTGAGTGTACGTACTACGAAAAGTATCCCATCTCTCGCATCGCTGCATCTGCATCCATCTAGGTATCTGTGCGAATAGATGAGATGTTGGATGCTAGTTTCTTCTTCGTCTTTACCTACGTATGGCTCCAGGACCCTTGTCACTGAAATATCGGGCTGGCTGTGCTCTCGCAATACCTATGTCGGGGTGTGCAATACCTACGCAGGCCACACTTACATACTACATTTCTCCTACGCCATGGTCTTGCGGCGGTCAAGAATTGCGCATCATGGGCTCAAGTCAGGTGAGCTGCTGCAACCGCCGAGCACGGCGCTTCGGGATTGGGCAGCCATTGACAGGGAGCGCGCGCAGGAGGGAGCAGATCACACAGCAATTTGGGCCAATTGCTATGTTGACTCATCCTGACAGATGGAGGAAACGCAAAGAGAAACTACAAGAGCCCCCGGCACGCCTGGAAAAGACGGAAAGGGGGAGCTGGGTGAACATCAATATGCGAACTCCTGTCGCGGTGGAAACAACCTGAGGAGTGTGCAGATGCGTTGCATAGGGGGGGCTCCGGGCTCCGCTGGGGAGTAATTCAAGACACCTTAGAGAAGGATACGGATACAGATGGGACTCGAAGTGCGAAAGAGGGGCTAGAGACTTTGGCTAGGAGCCAAGACGAGAGGGTAAAATGCTGATAAAGGCACGCAAGACGATGAGAGGCCGATGTGTACAGGGTACGGAGAGTAGGTGGAGGGGTCAAGACTCAAAAATGGCAAAATGGTCGTGAAAGAGATACCTTAGCTGGGTCGCCTACCTATTACCCGTTACTACCTGATGGGCTAGAAATGACGAGAAAAAACAGCAGTACGTCGGGGACTCGAGAGACGCCTGGCATCAACAGCCATGAGATGAGGCGCGAAGCTGGCTACTAGGCACTGCGTACTCCGTACGGCAACTGCGCCGCCATGCGGGTAGCTTTTTTTCGCCCTGGACTCTGCATACACGGCTCGTCCTATGGCAACAGCAAAGAGCCTTGACAAGGCCACTCGACGTTGTCATTGGGCCGCAAACCCTTGTCGTGCCCTTGTCCGCTTTCGGGGTCCTTTGCATCGTCTGGGATTCTGGGATGCTGGTCCTTTTGCCTTTTGGGGAGGGGGGGAAGAAGACTGGAGAGGGGGCTCCAAGGGGGGAAACAGACTTTTGCCGGCACGTCGAATTCGATCTTGATGCTGTTTTTGAAAACCGAGAGGAATATCATCGTTGAAGTGCCGTCATGGGAAGAACCGGAAACCGAACGTGTGACTCAAAATTAGGCGAGCAGGATGGCTGTGCTTACCGCCAGTTGGCATGCGCTACTCGGTACCTTACCCCACGAGCTCACCGACGGCGAGGGCGGTAGTGTGCACGTTACGGTGTAGTGTAGTTTCGTTTGGGTTGGAGGGCACGGGACTCGGGGCGGGAATAAGTCTCGAGTCTCGGCGACACTTACGCAGTACACTGGACGAGCTTGAGTTGAGAAGTTGAGATGGCGGGGAGGCAAACGCCCAAAGCTGGCGGCTGGGAATGCCCTTGGAGCGACAGCGACCGAGGGCACACGGGGGATGGCCCGCCCCGCCATGAACGAGTGAGAAAGATCAGAGGACGAGACCGGACAGGAGTGTACCGTAGAAAAGTCAGGCCTGGTCGTATGAGTAAGAAGGCAAAAGTAATAAGTTTGCTGTTATCGACGGAGAAAGGCAGGGGTGACGCTGGATGTCACTGTCGAATGAATTGCGGCGCACAGAGACTGGTCGTGTTTGGTTGACAATTTCACGTTGCGAATGGGAAACAGCGATGGCGGGTGGACATTGACCCGGGGTCGATGAGAAAACGGGACAATGACCGCGAGTGGTAAGAGGGCCCAATGATGTTACAAGATATGGTACCGGTAAGTGCCTTCCCTCACAGAAAAACCTCAGATTTGAGAGTTGGCTTGTTGGAAGGAACGGTGGAGGGAATGGAAGGAGACACCCCGTGACCCGACGATGGGAGGGAAAGAAGCGACTTGGACGGGAAGCATCGATGGCGACCGAAGACGAAGAAAGAGCACTAGCTGGAGCAGCAGGAAGGACCAGGGAGCAGACAGACGGCCTAGAAAGTGGGTCTTGAATGCACCTGCCCTAATCTGGCTCTAGCGTAGCGGCTGTTGGTACGTACTTGCGGGTCAAGACGGCTCAGCTTAGTTGGAACGTGCACCTCAGTCACCTAGTGGTCCGTGTCACTGGTCAGTGTGGCCCGTGGAGTGAGGCGGGGCCAACGGTCGCCTCTCGATCCATGTCTTTTTTTCTTCTTCTCGACCTTGACTCTCCTCCACCACGTTTTCTTGCCATGCCTTTTGTGCTTTCGAGCCCAAAACGCTCAGACTGCCTACACACAGAGCGATATCCATACATTACACATTACGGTACCAACGCTTCACATTATCCACTCAATCCCAACCCTACGCAGTAGGCCCCCCATAGCCTCTCGACACCTGGTCATTTCTAACTCTACGGAACAATACGATCCACTTTGCCCACTCGACAAGTGCCGGATGGGAGCCCTCACACGTTCGACCAGGCCTCGTTGTGGCTTCGTATCTGCCTCTCGATAAAGTACCTGCCTCTGTTCTAGGTATCCTGCCTTTCCCCTGCGTCTCGCTCCACCGTGTCTGAAGACTATCACCGTCCAACCGCCTGCTACCGAGCAAGACAATTCAGAACCGCTTGATTCACCAGCGTCGTCAACTGTCGTCAACATGTCATCCATCAATGATCCACTGCATGTCTCACTTTCACGCTGTCCGAGAGGACAGGTTTCTGCATGTCTCGCTCTCGTGCCACCCTCCCTGTTGATCGCCCACGCTACCGCTACGCTTGTCACATACGCCCCACCCTTCCTCCAATGCCCGGCGCTTGTTTGGCGACATCTCCAGATTGCCTCGGCGCTTCATCCTTGATGACCATGAGCTTTCTTCGGCTAGAATTCCCTCGACCCTCGAGATGGTGTGGACGGCTCGGGCGGGCACAAGCCTCGAAAGAGACACAGGCCAAGCTCACAGTCGTACCGAGAGACTATCATCGACTTTTCATGCCATCTATCATCTATCAACAAACATACTCTGCCCCTAATCACAGAGAATGTTACTGAACCGGCTTGACGGGCTTTGCGGCACCAAGTTGATTTGCTCTCGACTCTCCGGGCCTACTCCTCGACAAAACCAACAGGGAAACATCGGTTGGAACGCTCAGTCTTCAAAGCAACTCGATCGAGACGCTCGCAGGAGGATCGACGCAGGACCCCGCGGCGAGGTAGTAGCAAACTTCTACTGGACGCCATACATGGCCATGATAGATGACTGCAGCGAAAAGCCTCAACGACGCGTCGTCGAACCAACGACCAGGAAGCGCCACCAACAATCAGACGCGCTTTCACGTCTGTTCGTAAGTCGAGTTAGGATTCATTGAGGGTGTCGGCAAACTTGGTGAACCAGACCCTCGGCCTACTAAGCTGATAGGATATGGATGGTACGGCACACCCTCGAAGCCTCCTTTATCCAAGATAGTCCCAAAAGATCCGGGCAAGGTGGACCGACGGATTCGAACTATTCTCCCAATTGTTATATTCTCCGGCACAACAGGCAATGATACGCTCACCAGTGGCCCGCCGTCCTTGCAATCTCACCCACGACCCGGTCGTCTGATACGGCCCGTTGCCCGCAGAGTCAGCTTCACAGCCTGCCTATCCGTGGGGTGACTTGGGGGTGAGAGTCGGCTCGATACGGCAGTCTGGTGATGGAAGACATTTGGAAGTCTTCCATTCGCAGACAGTGCAACGCTCCAACCCATCTTCAAGGCCCTTGTTGCAAGGCAAACTAGAGTTTGATATTGTCTCATTCAAAGCCCAGATCCGCTCGAGCAACGACCATCGCCCCCGTCGGCCGCGTATAGCATCCAACCACTATTGGAAGAGGAGTATTGCTATTCTCCTCGTCCGGGGTCTGGAGCATTCTCAATTGTATGATTGGCTCTATTCGAAATGGACTTCTGGGCAGGAAGGGGCGCGATCCCTCTCCCCGTCCTTCATTGGCCTTTTAATGGACATTTTGGGCCAATCACGTGGCTGACCCATCACAATCTCCCACCACCAAAACTTTGGTCCCTGAAGGTCCATTTCTCCCCCTCATGCATGTCTCTCCTTACCCGCATCTTCCGGAAACGGTCCATCACCAATCGTCTACTTTGACTCCACGACCGAATGTCTCTTTCAAGATGATTATGCTGAAAAGAGATGATACTGGCGTCATGAGTCTTAGTCAGAGATGATATCTCATCTTGACTTTTAGGCCGGCCCCGAACGTTTCCCCCGCAACGGGTTGCCAATGTCTCGGAGCCCACGCTTGCAAGGAAAATGACAACTCCTGTCGCACACATTGACGAGTACGGCGCGGATAATGGGCAGCATAAACAATGATGATGTCCAAAAGAAACGCCAACAAGTGATACTCGACGAGCTTACCATCAAAATCCGCATGTCGCCAGGCCAGCAATCGGCTTCTAACCAACATTGGGTGCATGATTTGCGGCATGCAGGATACGACGAGAATAGCAACATGGCCTTCTCCCCCATGGCCTGGAGGCTAGGTCGACCCCTCAACCGATAACCAAAGCGGCGCGGTATCTGGGCGATACAATCGGCCAACCAAATCAAACGCGGCATCGAAGGCTCTCTACGAGTACTGGTCGACTGGGATCGCGGTATTTGCAGCTCAAGGAGCCATGATCCTTCAGGCAACATGCTCAGTAACGACAAGCGCAAATGGAGACACAGCGGCCATACCAGAGCAGCTGAAACCTGCAGCTCGACTGTGGCGACTATTATGCGCTGGCCGCGTCTAAACTGGACTGAACCAAGGCCTGGTATCCGTAAATGGTTTGCGATTGCGGCTGCGTCGTATGCCGCAAGGTCAAGGCCAAGTTGCTGCCGAAGCGAGACGGCGGCCCTGCCAGAGGTGCAGGAGCAATTCCGCAACGGCGTCTTTGGTGGCGCTGAAAGGTACTGTGGTGAGGCAACCAGCCCGCAAACGAGCATGCAAAACCTGCAAAACCTGCACTCCGCCACACGCCTCATCCGGACCCCATGCCATCACTGGGTCGTGAGGCTGGTGACGTGGCACTCGAGTCCGGCGAAGCGGGTCTCGGGTGGCTCAGTGCCAACGGAGCGCGACTTTCGGTTGCAATTTATGAGTCTGTGCCACTCACAGATACCCTTGCACCCGTTTGCTTCTGTGGCTTGCTCCCGGTCTTGGGGAATCGCAGATCTCTGGGTTTTGCACGGTCGCGAGTCTACATCCATCGCCATGTCACCGGTACTTGCGGCGGTGAAGCCAGGATCGTCTCGCTGACTCCGAAGACAACGCAGCATCTGGATGTTCAATGTTCCAACAAAATAAATCCACCATATTGACACGGATATCGAGTCACAAGTCGACGGTCTCTAGGAGCGAGCCCGAGCAATGATGAAGTCACCCGGGGTCTTCGCTCGCTTCCAGGACTGGAACCAACGACGAGCCCACCTGTGGCCCCTGTTCCCTCTCCAATCGTAGCCGCCAAAGATCCCGCGACCAGGGGCCTATTCAAGTAGACAGGGGTTTCGGCATTTCCATTGGCTTGGGTCCGATGAGACAGCAGGGGTGCGCAGACTGCACTCTGAGTCTAGTGAGTAACGTGATGAAGGCTAGGTGCGAGCGCCCACAGCTTTCACACTCCTTCACGTCCGTCACGGCGGTTGTTGGAGGAGAGGATGTCCAGAGTTTTCATATTTACTTTGGCATCATCCGAATCTGTCGTCGTTGGACGGGTGGCCGCACAGACGAAGGAGCCAAAGCGAAGAAATTGCCCTTCCGCCCGCACCCGTCATCCACAAGTGGCGCCCGGCGTGTTTCCCATAGACGCGGGATTGGCGCGATAGCGGGAAACCAAAGGACCACACACCCCGTCGCTAGAAAGCGCGCCGGGCTTCGTACTAAAAGTCCAAGATGCCGTTTTGGGGTCTCGCGGGAAGGCTGGGCTGTGCTGAGACATTGGGGCTGGCTAACTAACAATCAGCTGGCCCCAGAGCTTGATGCGTTGGCAGCTTGACTACTTGATGAACTGGTTTTCCCCCAATCGCCTCGACAGAACTTTCTACAGCGACGCAGCCTGTGGTGTCGAGACTCCCCTTACCCTTCTGCGCACAGGCTTCTTGGAGGCCCCACGGCGAACAGAGCTTGCTCGGGAACTAACGTCACCAGAACCACCAACTCGGCATGGGCTTGTTGGGTGAGAAGCTCTTTTGCCCTCACAGAGAGTTCGGCTGAACTCAAACTGACAGCTCCAGGTGGAGCGTTGGTATCTGGCAGCTGCGAATCGAATAGTTCCTGCAGACTTTTACTTCGTTGGTTGGGAACGATTTTCTATACGGTCGAATGGTGAGAGTATGCCGCGCCATGAGAGGATTCTGAGCCCTGCAGCTCTGCGGCGTGGCTTGATTGAGAAGAGCTGACCAAGGACTAGACTGGCTGATGTTTGTTTCGTTGGATTCTCTAAAGCACATCACCTCGTCATTCGTCTCTCGTCTTTCGATGCTATCGGTTTACCCCTTTTCAAGCTTCCAACTGCGATGCTTTTCATTTAGATGAAGCCGCGCAGGACGCGGCACGACGGCAGTCTTACTTGAGTTCTTACGTCGATGGCTTACCGGTGCTAGATTCCTCGCAGAGCACGGACGACGGAATAATCTGAGTTTGTTGACATTAGTGAGAGACCGTGATGACGCCGTCGATTTGTCTAGCGGCGGGTTTTGGGCGCGCCGGCCATTTGGCTTATGCGTAGCTTGTCCGTTCGTTTGGGTTGTCGCATTGACGGATGTCGATGTTTGGTTTGCCTTAGGGCTTACGACGGCGCCGGGATGTTGGAAGCGCTTGGCTTTGAGTGAGATACTACATCTTTGTGGACAAGGCGAGTTCAGACTGGTCGTCCGAGACATCTGTAGGGCCCTTATGAACTTGGGTCTCTGCATTCCTTTTTCTTGACAATCTGGTGTTTAGTGTGAGACCATCGTAGATGATGTAGTTTGACGATGTCTCTACCTATATGAGAACCTCTCGCCCTAGGCAGCAAAGTAAGCTCCACAAAATCGAGTTCGCACTTGACTCCTTGCCCATCATCGGACGTCGGTTATAGTCTATATAAGTCGATGAGATCCTCGCATTGTCGATTGGAATGGAGTTTCTACCGAAGGAGGTGCCGGCTCGTTCTTCTTGCCCTTCCATTCGCTCTTCTTGATTTCTGCATCATCGAGGGTGACACCTTTAGCTCGCTAGGCGGGTGTTTACACACCCGAAGGACAGTGGCTGAAAGAACGTGATCTATCTCTTTGAATCGTTAGTCCTCGCTCACGTATTCGTGAGAGATCGTGTTTAAGACGGGAGATGAGCGGTTCTTGTTATGTGAAAGTGAAATTTGCATTAAAGTGATATAATGGTTGGGCTCAAGGAGCTGTTAGTTCCTTTGTCCAGTATGCTCTTGTGCGGTTTCCTAGCATTCCCGCGGTACCACCATGGTCGTTACCACGGTTTCTAGGCTATGGCTTTGATTCCACGATGTCGGGTGCTCTTTATAGGGAGCGGCATCATTAGGGCGTTGTGTATGAAGGATGCTGATCATGTACCTTCCACATTAGTAGCATATCTTGATGAATGGTATGGACCAAGAAGGCTTGTCTAAGTGATCTCAAAGACTATTTAATACACGGTACTTAGAGACCAGAGTAAGAGGACGAGAAGACAGCACACAGTGTCGGACATTAGTTCTCTTGCTCTTGTTTTATTAGAGGTGTTCTACTCCCTGGTCTCTAATAGACCAGAGTTGAGTGTGGGCTTCGCGACGATACTATCCAAGCGTTCGACTTGATGGGTCGTACATCACCTCATCATCCCCTTGAGGCCTAAATTCTCAGCAGTCCCTGGCTCTCTCTTCTTAACGTGGGATTTCGAGTACTCCGCGGGATATAGACCTTTGCCGATCGATAAAGCGCGAGGGAAGAAGACGGACGTATAGAATATGGGTTGATGCCATGGTACAGCGAATTACCTGAGGATGAGTCGCACTGCCCATGCCGTGTAGTCACTGTGACTGCGGCCAAGTTTCATGACAAGGGCATTCAATACCTCATTGACCCTGCCAGAAGATTGTAGCATAGATGCAAGTTTGCAGCTGTTTATATAGATGTTCTTCCCGCTGATATACGAGGACTGAGGTGTTAGATCCGGCCGGGCAAACGTATTACCTGCCCGTTATCAAAGGAAGTCGATGGATCAGGGCAGCTGGATAGTCCGGAAAGCATAGAATAGTTGCTCTGAGAATTGACGATGCCGTGAGAGATCACATTTATAGCTATCTACCTCGCGTCAAAGGCCAGGCTCTCGATGGATACGAGGAGGACGTCGACTATGCCGATGGTAAGGAGGACGTATCAGAAGCGCGACAGCTATGAGGAACTTTTCCGCGCGTATAGACCTTGACTCATACGGCAATGAGTTCAAACTAGGTGCCGCCGACTAACAGCTTCTGGTTCAGAGGCCGAGACAGACTCACTTGAGGCGTCTCCATGAGAACAGCGTCGAAGCTTGGGGTCAACGCAGGAGCCTCAAGATAAATTTCACTTCTTTGATCCGGAAAGCAGCTGTCATAGACAGGTCCCTCTCGGATATTGCGGTCACTTTCGCAATCGACAGATGGACTATCCACTGCCTTGTCTTCGCGTCTCGGAAACCATCATAGCCTCTTGCCAAGAACACTCAATCCCCAAAGTAGGGTTGATAACGGTGTAGACGTACGATTGATCACTTGGCACGAGAAAAGGTTCTACATGTTTTATTGCCTCCAGGCCTTGGGATCAGGACCCAAGTCAAACGTACAACACAGAAGATCGACAGGGAATACGTAAACCCTGGCAGTGATCTGGAGTTGCGATCGTCTCTCTCGCCAACCCCGCCTCCGCATCCCGGGCAAACGCTCGCCGCCTCGCTTCAGATTTACCCCGACATCCACCCCCGTCAATCTCGCTAACACGAGTACGCGGGGAAATTCTTCCACATCGCCGACTTACACAAGCCTGACCTACCAGAACGGGATCGCATGCCAAGAAACACTCACTCGCTCCGTCATGTTGTTGAAATAAGAAAACCACATGGAGCCGCCGTCCGGCACGACATCGCAATGGAACACCCACCTCCCTGCGACCTCGCCGTCCTCTGCTCAAGATGGCCCCAATGATGGCACGCCTCCTCCACTTTGCGCTCCTCCTTTTCTCCTCATCCGCCCTACTTGTCTCAACGGCCAGCACTACGGACCCGAATCCAGCTCGGCCATGGGAAGCGTACATCAACAGCCCGTCCACCCGGACCGTCCTCCCTCAACGGATCCACGCCGTCTCCGGGCCCGCGAACGTGACGACCTCCGCCGATGACGGGAGCTTCGTCCTCACCCTCCAGCCAGGAGGTCAAGTATCCCTGGACTTTGGCTACGTCGGCGGTCTCCTCTCCATGATGGCAGAATCCAACAATACATCATCATCACCCAGTAACTCATCAGAGCCGCACTTCTCCCTCGCCTTCGCTGAATCACCCGCCTTCGTCCGTGAGATCTCAGACGATACAGGCGCAACACCAACTCAAGACTACGACAAGGCCCTCAGCGTCACAATCCCCGCTTCCTCTTCAACAACCCCCTACGCCTACACCATGCCCAAAGAACGCTTCCGCGGCGGCTTCAAATACCTGACCCTCCACGCCTTCCGCTCCGTAACAATCACCTCGATCATCTGCCACCTAGCCTACTCCCCATCCCAACCAAACCCCTCCCTCTGGGCAGGCCACTTCCATACCCCGGACGACGACCTCCTAACCCGCATCTGGCACGCCGGCGTCTTCACAGCCCAAACCAACATCGCGCCCCCCAACACATCCCGCTGGCTACCTCAAGTTAAACCAGGCTGGGCCTACAACGCGACCCTCGGCGTCGAGGGCCCCATGCTCCTCGACGGCGCGAAGCGAGACCGCGCAGTCTGGCCGGGCGACCTGGGCATCGCGGGCACGACGGCGTACCTAGGTCTCGGCGATGCCGGGTTGGAGTCGGTGTTCTTTGCCCTGGACACCATGTTCCTTTACCAGAATGCTTCTACGGGTCAGTTACCCTTCGCGGGCCCGACGACTGGCTCTTGGAGACGGGGCGCGAAGAGCGATACGTATCATGCTTGGACATTGATCGCTTGCTTCAACTACGCGATTTTCACTCGCGACGAGGCGTGGGTTGACGGCCGGTGGGGGAACATCACAGCGGGCGCGAGTCATATCCTCCGCGCCATCGACGCCAGCAGCGGCATAGGCCTCGCAGAGCAAGTCGAGACAAACGACTGGGCTCGTCTCGGCGGGGGAGGGTATAACAGCGCCCTCAACGCCTTGAACTACCATGCCCTCTCTTCCCTCGCCAGCCTTGCCGCCGACACGGCGACGGACTCCAACGACCGCGGAGAGCGGGCAACAACGTGGACGGCCGCGGCAGCGAAGCTCAAGACGGCGTACAATGCCGTCCTCTGGGACGCCTCCGCCTCGCGGTACCGCGACAACGAGACCGCCGCGGGAGCGCTCCTCTTCCCCCAGGACGGCAACGCGCTGGCCTTGCAGTATAACCTCACCACATCCCCCGCCCAAGCCTCCTCCCTCTCCGCGGCACTACTACGCAACTGGAACGCCATCGGGCCCGTCACGCCCGAGCTACCGGACACAATCTCCCCCTTTATCTCCTCCATCGAAGTCCTCGCGCATTTCGCCGCGCGGAAACCCCGTCGCGGGCTGCGGCTGATGCGCCGCACGTGGGGCTACATGCTCGACTCCCCGCTCATGACGGGCACCACGCTCGTGGAGGGGATGAGCGCCAACGGGTCGTTGTATTACCGCTCGCAGCGGGGGTATAACTACGACGCGGCGTATACTTCGCTCTCGCACAGCTGGTCTACGGGGCCGACGCAGGCTCTTACCTTCAAGGTTGTCGGGCTTGAGGTTGTTGGGTGGGGAAGGTGGCGGTTCGAGCCGCAGATGGGGGATCTGAGGAGGGCTGAGGCGGGGTGGAGGGATGGGAAGGGGGGTGAGTATGGGGCTGTTGTTGTGGTTGAGGGTGGTGGTGACGGTGATGATGATGGGCAGTGGAGAGAAGGGGTACTGGAGGCGGAGATTCTGACGCCTAATGGGACTGAGGGAGTACTTGAGATTCCGTATTGTGAGGTTTTGTTTGTTGATGGGGAGAAGTGGGATGGCGGTCGTCTCCAAGGAGGGCGGACGAAAGTCAGGGGCGAGGGATGTCGAGTCAGTTGTTGAACAGGACTGTACCATGAGCAGTGTGAAGCGATACAGATCTATAATCATGCTTGCACCCAGACAGACTGGAGGATCCTTTGGTTTGCTTATGAGAACACCTGGTAGGGCGGTTGGTTATGGTTCAAACACCACGAATGCTGATAGCCTTCAGGAACTGGCTCCCAGGAGGGGCATATAGATCTACGAGATCTATAGCTGAATCCCCCGGTTCATGCCACAGAACTGGGCAGTTCGATTAGGCTATCACCGACTGCATTAATTAGACTGAATCTTTCAAGGGACTCGAACTATCCACTGTCGTGAAGTCCTTGTTGGATCCGAATATGCTATTCCGAGTTAGTCCCACTTTGACGAACTAAATCCTTTCGCAAGAACCTGGCAGTGGGTTATCACAGGTGTTAGTCAAAGTATAGACGAAGCGACATTAGCTGACGTGAGATGGCAATTCAGTAACCATTCCAAAGATGATGAACCCAAGACAAGCTGACGCCGAGAGTCTCGGCCTGCAGCAGATCCACCGCGTGGACTTCCTACGATGGACTTTTCAAGTCTGAGAGGGATAAAAAGTCGATCCACAACTATGCGCCTCGTATTTTTCTTCCAACTTCGTCAATACTTCACAGCCAGGAGTAAATCCACTCGCGCGCCAGTCACCTAGACATCGTCAGCCCTTGGGCTGAGTGGGATAGCATAGCCTCATAGAGGCAGACGCCGAGGCGATAGCTGAGGACCGAGAAGCGCATCGTGGTTCCGAGTGGAAATATAAAACGGCGATGAAATCACCTCTTCTTCTGGTTTGGAAATACATCAGCAGCCACAGTCGGACATCTTCTCACAAAGCAATAGCTCTGCTCTTCGTCTTCTATATATCCAGCCCCTCAACGCCAGCCTTCAGTCGCCACCTGAAAGCCCCCCTTAATCCAGCAAAAATGCACTTCCAAAGCTTCGTAAGACTAAACTCTCTCCTCGACTAAGTCTTGACAGCTCGCTGTCAGTATCTAAGGGATGCTCTTCAAGCTAATCTTGACCTGTATCTACAGCTCCTCGCGGCCGCCATAAGCCTGCCTTTCTCCATGGCCGCCCCAGTAGCCGAAGCAGACACCACCAGCAACGTGGCAACCACCAATAACGCAGCAACCACCAGCAACATTGAGGCTCGAGCCTGCCCCTACACCGGCTGGTTTCAATGCATCAATGTCCAGACCAATCTCTGCATCGCCCAGTGTGCTTGGGCTGGCAGAAGATCCGCTGTCTGCCTGTCTGGTTGTTCGGCAAACGCGAATAGTGCTTGTGGCGCTTACGGCTGCGGCCAGTGAGCTCTATTGAACGATTCAAGAGATGTTAGAGAGGAAGGAGCTGACTTGTTATGGAATTGAAGAGGGGAGGGGATGCAAGAATTGAGAAAGGGCTGATTAGGGAGGCAAGGGAAGGGGAGGTTGTTTTGCGAGGGCTATTAGGTAGTTACTATTCAGAACTTTCTTGACTTAACCTTGCACATTCAACCCGGAGCATGCCAAATGCCTCGTGTAGTGTACCAGCCGGCTCCCGAGTATCAACTGAATGTATACAAGTGATTAGAACGGGAAAAAGGATGCAACTTAAGTCGAGGATTCAAAAAGGATGCCCCCTCACGGGATTGAACCGTGGACCTTCGCATGTCGAACAAGTACGAGTGCGACGCTCTACCACTGAGCCAAAGGGGCTCTATGAAATTTTTTCTGCATCACGGATGCCCATATCGCGCAACCCAGCGTAAGCGAGCGTGAGCCAGTGGCCCGGCCTGGAATTTGGGCGGCTCAGACACAACGGTGTCATGTCTGTCAAAGACCGGCTGCTCGCGCAAGAAGTCTTATCAGGAGGCCTGTCACGGCCGTGGTTTGCCATGAGCTAGTCGTTTCTCAAGGTGCATCATCTTTGCTGTCAAGAACGACGGCGTAGATTTCTTAGGGAACCACTTTATACTGACTTTCTTCAATGGCTCCATCTATGGAGAGCATGTTAGAAGAGGCATATCACAGCCAGTCAACCAAACTCGACCAACTGGCGACAAGACGAGATACCACAAGTACAAGGCACAATATATCACATCATAATAGAAGGTTGTTTGTCTTAACATTCCAATTCTGAGCGTCTACCTCATCTGTCTCATGATCATGACGGGCTAACTAGAATACACCCATACATCTAATATGGGGAGGCAATTATGGAAAACTTCCGAAGCCGCAATTAAAACCGAAAACCGTCCAACTCCGATGAACTTTTTCTCTGGTATCCCGTATTTTTCATCCCAAAGATCCTTTAGTCAACCTCCTCCATGGCGCTGTCACCAGTCTCGACAGCGGACGTGTCAGCGGCGGGAGCCTCGACAGTCTCCTCCTCCTCGTCAATGTTCAGGCCGAGCTGAACAAGCTTGTGGATGCGCTCGGCGAAGCTGGCGGGCTCATCAATGGTGAAGCCAGAGACCAGTAGAGAGGTCTCGAAGAGAAGCTGGACGATAGACTTGACGGTGCGGTCGTTCTCGCCGTCGGTCTCGACCTTCTTCTTGAGCTCCTTGATGATGGTGCTCTTGGGGGAGATCTCGAAGGTCTTCTTGGAAGACATGTACGAGGACATGGAGGTGTCACGGAGGGCCTGAGCCTTCATGATACGCTCCATGTTGGCGGACCAACCGAACTGGCCAGTGCGAATGGCGCAAGGGGCACCAGTGAGCATCTGGGAGACGACAACCTTCTCGACCTTGTCGCCGAGAACGTTCTTCAGGCTCTTAGCGAGACCCTCGTACTCCTTCTCCTCGGCCTCACGGGCAGCCTTCTCCTCCTCGGTCTCCTCGAGCTCGAAGTCCTTGGTGATGTCGACGAGCTTCTTGCCCTCGAACTCCTTGAGTTGAGTCATGGCGTACTCATCAATGGGGTCAACAAGGAAGAGAACCTCAAAGTTCTTCTCCTTGAGGGAGTCCAGGAAGGGAGACTTGGTGACAGCCTTGATGGACTCGCCAGTGATGTAGTAGATGTTCTTCTGGACCTCGGGCATGCGAGTGACGTAGTCGGAGAGGGAGGTGAGCTCATCGCCAGACTTGGTGGAGTTGAAGCGGAGGAGCTTGGCGAGGATGTTGCGGTTCTGGGAGTCCTCGTGGATTCCGAGCTTGAGGTTCTTGGAGAAGGCAGAGTAGAACTTGTCGAACTGCTCCTTGTCCTCAGCGATCTCCTGGAAGAGCTCAAGAGCCTTCTTGACGATGTTCTTCTTGATGACCTTCATGATCTTGTTCTGCTGAAGGGTCTCACGAGACAGGTTGAGGGGAAGGTCCTCAGAGTCGACAACACCCTTGACGAAGCCGAGCCACTCGGGGATGAGGTCGGTGGCATCATCGGTGATGAAGACACGGCGGACGTAGAGCTTGATGTTGTTCTTGGTCTTCTTGGTCTCGAACAGGTCGAAGGGAGCGCGCTTAGGAACGAAGAGGATGGCACGGAACTCGAGCTGACCCTCAACAGAGAAGTGCTTAACGGCAAGGTGGTCCTCCCAGTCGTTGGAGAGGGACTTGTAGAAGGAGGCGTACTCCTCCTGGGAGATGTCCTGGGGGTTGCGAGTCCAGATGGGCTTCTGCTTGTTGAGCTCCTCCTCCTCGATGGAAGTCTCCTTGACCTTCTTGGTCTTGGGCTTCTTCTCCTCCTCATCGTCATCGACCTCCTCGATCTTGGGCTTCTTGTCGTCACCCTCCTCGGTGGTCTCGGTGGCCTCCTCATCGGGGACCTCCTTCTCGGTCTCCTTGGTGACGTGGAGGTAGATGGGGTAGGAGATGAACTCGGAGTGCTTCTTGATGACCTCCTTGACCTTGGCCTCGTTGAGGTAGTCGGTCTGCTCATCCTTCAGGTGAAGGATGATCTTGGTGCCACGGCCAAGAGCCTCACCCTCGGTATCAGGGGTGATGGAGAAGGTACCACCAGCGGAAGACTCCCAGACGTACTGCTCGTCATCGTTGTGCTTGGAGACGACGGTGACCTTGTCGGCGACAAGGTAGGCAGAGTAGAAACCAACACCGAACTGGCCGATCATGGAGATATCAGCACCGGCGGTGAGGGCCTCCATGAACTGCTTGGTTCCGGAGCGGGCAATGGTACCCAGGTTGTTGACGAGGTCCTGAGAAGGTCAGCTACTGATCATTGCAATTGAGTGGTAAATATTGGGAACATGTGGTACTTACAGCCTTGGTGAAACCAATACCGGTATCACGGATGGTAAGGGTCTTGTTCTCCTTGTCGGGGATGATGTCGATTCTCAGGTCCTTGCCCGAGTCGAGCTTGCTGGGGTCGGAGAGGGATTCATAGCGAATCTTGTCCAAGGCATCGGAGGCGTTGGAAACAAGCTCACGCAGGAAAATCTCCTTGTTTGAGTAGACAGTGTTGATGATGAGCGACAGGAGCTGAGAGATCTCAGCCTGGAACTCGAAGGTCTCCGGGGAAGACATTGTGATGGAGGATGTGGGTATCTAGGGCGTAACGGTCGTAATTCTGTCAAGATTTGTTAGATGTTGTTTGGAAAAGGTGGTTGTGTGGCGGTGAGGCTGTGATTTGTGGAGGGGTAGTAGAGCGGGGGGAGGAGAGCCTTGTCGCCGACTTCCCGGGATTGGATCTCCAGGGCAGATGATGCAGAGATGATCAATCTCAATCACTGACGAGGCTGACGCTTGAATTGCGAGATGCCAAGTTCCAATCGAAAAAGAAGTGAGGGGTGATGGTAGGGACGGCAAAACGGCATCGAGACCAGGCCGGGACAGCGGGGTGTGTTTCGGCGGGCTTACCTTGAGAAGAGCTTCTCTACGAATGCAACAGGTCTTTCGCTGCTACGAATCGACGATGGAAAGATTGATTCTGTTGGGGGAGTAGGAGAGAAGAGAGAAATTGGGAGAGGGAGAGAAAAGTTGAGATGCGAAGAAGAAGAAGTCTGGAAGTCAAGGCGACGTGGGAAGAGGAGGAGGCTAAAAAAGAAAAAGGCGTCTGGAG